TATGGTTGTGTACCGAAACTTACTACTGCACAAGAGCTGTCAAGCATTCTGTGCCACAGTGCAGAGTGTTTGTCCGTTCAGCGTGAATGTTTTATTTAAGGTAAAACATACAATTATATGATTGCTTTACTTTTACTAATGTATTTTTAAATTATTAGTTTGACTGCATTGCGTCCAACTTTGAGCTCATCAAAACAATCTCCTTTACACTTATCAATCAGTATCCAGTCAACTCGCAAATGTTTCAAATGGTAAAAAAGCATTTTTTAGTAAAAAACAACATTAACTTTTTATTTTAGATTTTTACTTACATTTCCATTTTGTACATGAAAATTTTAGAGCAATAGCATTTTCAGATTGTAACATCTTAGTTTATTTGCCTAATAAATAAAAGTGAAAATATTGTGCAGAAATTTTTTAAACATTTGTGTTTTTACTTTATGCCAAGTCAAAAATAACATTTGAGCTTTTTTGAGGTAATCCGCTAAAAATCTTATTCGATTCTTCAAAATGAAAGCAATAGATCACCTGCTGCTCAAGTGAAAGAGAGAGTGAATTTTTGGCATTGTCCCCTAATCTTTGTTAGAAACATAATTCTCTGCTTAAAACAGGTCCTTCTTGGCTGTTGGTCACTGCAGCCAACTGTCTTTGGTAGTAATTGCAGTGACTCTTAAGTGACTAACTCTCAGAAAAACTGAATGACCATTTGCATGCTGGCCCTGGCCAATACACAACCACAGTTTTGTGTTTTTTAGTTTCCAAAATGTCGTCTTCTGAACAGACATACTCTTCGTGCTCTTCGGTGACACTGGCACCCGAATCTCAGACAGTATCACTACAACAGCAACGACCATTGCCACCACTACCACAAACAGCAGCAGTTCCTCTTGTTCACCAAACAAACACCACCCAACAGCTTTTGTCAACAAAAAGGACGCACCAGCAACAAAATAGTAATGGCAACAAGGGCAACGCCAACTTTAGCCTTCGCTACATCCTCTGCTTCATCTTTCGCTGTCTGTTCATACTGCTCCTCTTTGCCCTGGTCTTCTACTACTTCTTCAACCAGGCAACTCGTCTTGAGTTGGAGCAAGCCACCGGTCAGAATGTGATTCGCCTCGCTGATCTGCCGCCTGGGAAAGCCGGGCGGCTACAGAGAGCCAATGAGCTGGCTCATCGACGACTCTTCATAAAAGAGATGACACGAAACGCCTGGTCGGCGTACGTCAACTTCGCCTGGGGACAGGACGCCCTGCAGACGGAGACGCTGAGTGCCTACTCCGGCTGGCTAGGCCCCAACGGTGGCCTGACGCTGCTCCAGGCAATGTCCACCCTGTGGACGATGGACTACACCGAAGAATTTGACAGAGGACGAGGCTGGATCAGGGAGCACTTTAACTTTTCACAGGGGTAGGAGCTCTACTGTCAACTTACTTCAGATCAAAACTAATCACTCTTGTACCCTAGTACGCTCAACAAGGACGTCAGCGTCTTCCTCGTGGTGACCGAAGTCATCGGCCCGCTGCTCTCCTGTTACTCCCTCACCAAGGATGCGCTTTTCCTCGAGAAGGCGCAAGAGGTGGCCTATATGCTGGAGCCGGCATACAGGTCACTCTACAGTCTGCCTTTCAAAAAGTTCAACCCTTCCACCAGAGTGGCCTTTGGTGAAGAGGTTTTTCTAGGAGAGGTGGGCGGCCAGCACCTCGAGTACTACTACCTGCACTCGCTGACAAAGAAGGCCGTTTTCAGTCGTCGGTTCACGGAGATTCGCCAGCAGCTAGTGCGACTGCCAAAGCCGAAAAAAGGCCTCTATCTCAGTGAGCTGGACATTCTCTCGGTGGAGTGGTCCGACAGTACGAGCACCTTCTTCCGCCCTTCAAGCACCTTCTACTCGTACCTCGTCAAAGCGTACTACCAATCGGGCGGCACTGATCAGCAAGCGCTGGAGATGTACCAACAGGCGATACAGGCGGCANTTCTACTCGTACCTCGTCAAAGCGTACTACCAATCGGGCGGCACTGATCAGCAAGCGCTGGAGATGTACCAACAGGCGATACAGGCGGCAACACGAAACTTTATGTTCAACACTTCGGTGGCTGATTTGACGGTAAGCAAAGCTTTTTACTGACGTTAGAATTTTACATTAGTTTTGAGTTTTCAGTACGTCCGAGATTACTTTTACCTGTCAGAAGATACTTCCTACTCGTCCTTTTCCTCCTACTCATCGCTTTCAAGTGGCACCAGCCACTTGGGCGACTTTATGATGCACGATGGCTGCTACATGGGCGCCATGTTTGCCCTGGGTTCTGCCGCCCTCAACAACCAACTGGTGGCGGTCAGTTTCAGCGCTGCTGACTGTGATGGTGCCGATTGCTATGCTCAGCCCAAACCACAGCTAAACAGTGCCCAGATGAGGAAGGCAAAGAACGAAGTGCAGATGCACCGAGACCTGGCCATCAACCTGACGGAGACCTGTCGCTTTAGCACCCTCACCCGAACCGGCCTGCCTGCCAACTACCTCTGGGTGAACGAGCCGGATCGACTGTTCCAAAAGTCCGACTACTTTAATGAGTACCACTTGAGGTAACGAAAGTTACACTTTGAACGTAGTCATTTTTTAACTGCTCTTCTAACTAACAGTCCCGAACTGGCCGAATCGTACCTTGTCCTCTGGCGTCTCACCCGCAACGAGCAGTACCGAGACTGGGCGTGGCAGTTGGCACTGTCCATTGAGGCAAACTGTCAAAGTGCTCTCTCAGGTGCCTACTCAAACATTGCCAACGTCGAGGAACTGCCCACGGTGAAGGCCAATTACATGCCGCCACACTTTATCGGCGCCACACTCAAGTACCTTTATCTCATATTCGACGATTCAGACCTGCTCTCACTGGACAGTTGGGTGTTTAACCGAGCCGGACAGCCACTGCCCATTTGCGGTGACTCCTGTAGCTGATGTAAACAAGCTTTTTTATTTGCAAAACAACTTTAGTAAACTCAAATCTTAGGTATAGTTTGTCAGTGAACTAGAAAGTCCGTGACTGGTTGACCGAACTGGCTTCATCGACAGCAGATGATGCCGCACTGTGGCCACTCGCTGATGTCGCTTCTCACTTGGGTTGAGCTTTCTCACAAGTAACCAGATGGCAATTACCCGATAGAGAATTAGGTTGAATATGAGCATGAGAATGCAATGCGCAAAGTGATCATCGCTGTTCTTAATGCCCATCCAGTAGAGCAGCGGCTGCAGCTGGTGACGAGCATCACATCGGCCAAAGCCGTGCTGCAGAAGAATGGTCGCCTCAAAGGTGAACCGCTGAATGGAAAAGTTGGCGAAAAATCGGTAGACGTAGTGCAAGTGAGGCAGAGGGAGGATGAAGTTGGCCAGAAAGGAGTAGGAGGTGTTGACGCTAATCTGCATCATGTACTGCAGCAGGAGGTTCTCGCTGAAGGCAAAGACGATGACGTGGGTCATCGATTGCCAGGCGACCATGCTGAGGAGCATAGTGCCCAGTGTATACCAGTACATTCCCGGGCGGATCGGCTCGAATAGATCAGCAATGACGAGGTAGACCATGAGCAGTGGCGTCGCCAGGGCCACCTCAAAGACCGCCTTCATGATGTAGAAGGAGCCGGCGCTGTAGTACCCATTACGGTGCTCATTCACCAGACGCGGGAACTCGCCGAAAAAGTGCGAGCTACTCTTCACAGCAAAGAGAAAGTTGACCATCAGGTGGATGAAGAAGTTGAAGGCAGCACTCAGCTCCAGCACCTTAAAGTCCTCCAGCCGTTGGATGGACTTTGCGCTGCACGTCAGGTTGCCGCCCGTTTCGTCATCGGCAATGTTCACACAGAAGGGCTTCAGGAGTTGGTCGTTCAGTCGGTGTGACTGCCAGAAGAAGAGCATGAACCGGGCAAAGAGGAGGAGACAGGCGATGAAAGACAGCCACTCAAACAGCTGGTAGTTGACAGTGTACAGAAGATAGCGACTGGTGAGGGCGCCCAGTGAGCTGAAGGAGAGTCGCAGTGACGGCCTCTGCAGTCCGTCCGGTGCCACTTGGCAGTCTGTTTCAGGCGGTGGCAACTTGTACTGTTGATTGTTGATTTGGCACAGCTCCTTTACCGTACTGCTCTGCTGACCAAGTGAGGCGTACTTGAGCAGTGTTTCCACGCTGTACAGTACATTATCGTTTGCAGGCAGTGCTGAAGACAGGCTGTGGAGGTGATGTTGAATAGTCTTTGGTGGGCCCTGGAAAATGTTCACACCTCCACGAGCAAGCACAAAAATCTGGTCAAACATTTGTAGAACTTTACTGTTGGTTTGATGAATGGAAAGAATGATGGTGATGTTGTGATTCTTTGCTAGCGATCTTAAGCAGGAGATTACCTGATATTAACACAAAAATTAGTTTAAAGATGAAAAAAGTAATTATCACTTACAATTTCTGCAGAGGTGCTATCCAAACCGCTGCAACACTCGTCCAATTGCACAAAATTTGGCATGTGAACAGAAGTCAACTCCTGACCTAATGCGATTCTCTGCCGCTCACCGCCCGAGCACTTTTCCAGTTTTGTGTGGACAATATTCAGCAAATCTAGTTGTTCTAGCATGCTCAAGGCGATCGCTTCATGATCAACTGTTTGCCTAACAACTGAGCTGTTCTTCAGTCTGGACGCGTACACCAGAGCCTGTTTGGCTGTTAAGCCTGGCCACAGGTGATTGGACACATCCTGGGTAATGAAACAGGTCCTGATGGGTGTACATTTGCTCACGTAAAAGGTACTCTCCTCAGAAAGTTTGTCTTTGAGCTGCCCATTCAGTGTTTTAAGCAGTGTTGTTTTGCCAGATCCTGACGGACCTAGTACTCCTACGAGGGTGCCAAAATTCAACTGTCCGTTGATGTTGCGTAAAATGATCTCTTCCGATTTAGGTGTGTTTAGCTCGTAAATAGAGTTTGAGCAGTAAAGACTGACATTGCGCCAGGCAAAAATAACTTTAACAATTTCATTTTGCGGTTTAAATTTTTTGTTTTCAATTTTGACTTTCACAGTTTTCAAATCAACGTTTAAGATTTTCACGGCACTAGATTTGCTGTTTTCAACAGTTTTTGAGTTATTAAGAAAAAGGCTCTTCTTTTTTAAAGCCATCCAAATGAGCTCAAATGGACTGTTGAACTTAAGGTACAACAAAATAAAAGTCAACAGTCGAATGACGATTGTGTTTGTAATAAAAGTCTTGGCAAACTTGTAAAAAATAAAAGGGCTGTTTTCAATGTTTTGACTGAGTAAAATGTAGCTAAACTCATCTTCTTTGCACCGATCAATTCCATAGAAAATGTACAGTAAATAAGAGTAGAGGTACTTGATGCCAAAAACTTCGTTTAGGTAACTAAAGAGAGGGCTGTCAATATCGCTGGTGTTCATGAAAAGATCACTGATCATGGTGATGATTGTGTGAAGAATGATAGAGAATATTAAACCAGAAAGAACGGAATTGAGAAAGATAACTGCCAGTGCTTGACCGATGCTTTGCGTGAAAAGACTAAAAACTGTTACACTGAAGAAAAAGTTTCCCAGTCGTATCCAGTTGATGGTTCTCGCGTCAATTGTGTACAGATTAGAAACAAAGTATATAACAAGAGTGAGAACGATCGCAAAAACGATCAACTGAAGAATGTAGACAATGGTGAAAGAAAAATAGAACGATCCCAAACTGTACCATCCTGATTTAAAAAATATAAAATTTGAAATGTGGCAAATGTAAACAAACACTCACACTGTTTTGATATTCATTTCGAAAGACGTTGATCATCGGCATCAGGGTAACGCAAGCAGTAGCCAATGTAATGTACCAGAATACGTCCGCAGAAAGATTAAGAAAATTAATGTTATCTCTAACCAGTGAAAAAATTTCAAGATCGGCAAAGCAGCTGATATTTTTGTTGCTGCTTGCTACTGGAGCACAACCGCTCGGTTTTACCATATCGTAATTGAAGATGGAGATGAAAAGAAGCATCACCATTACTTGGATGATTAGCTGTGCTGCACAGAGTTTCCATTGGGCAACAAAAAGAAGATTGAAAAGACGGCACAGCACAATGACGAAATCGGTAATTTGAAACATTTTTCTATTTTTGGATAGTCTATTTGGCTTTTGTTTCATATTTGACTTTTGTTGTAAAAGAGCTTTAAGTTCCTGATTCTTAAAATGTTTTGCCAATTTTAAAGTTGTCGGTGTACAATCTAAAAAATTTTTGTTGTAAAAACTTTTTAATGATTCAGAGGCTTACTTTGACAAGCAATGGCAACCAAGTCCTCTATTGGTTGTGAATCATCGACCATTTTGTGATTGACTACTTTCTGAAGTGTCGACCTGATGTCTTCCGGAGTTCCAGCGTACACACAATATCCTCCTTTTGCAAGAACAAACAACTTGTCAAATTGCTGCAGAATTTCCAAACTGGGAGTGTGAATCGTGACAATGATGGTAATTTGGTAGTGAGATGAGCTGGTCAGTGCTTTCAGACAAGTGATCATCTCTACTGCAGCGAGACTGTCTAAGCCTTATTGAACAAAAAAAAACAAATATTTTACAAGTCAACCAAACTGAAGTAAACTTACCGGTTGTTGGCTCATCAAAAAAGCAGAATGAAGGCGGCACCAGTGACATCAGCTCCTGGCCAACGACCACTCTTTTCAGCTCACCGCCACTGCACTGGTCGCATCTTCTTCCTAGTAGATCATTGGACAGCAGTAAATGTCCCATAACCGATTTAATGTGCCCTTCCCGTTGACTGTTGACCTTGCCACTGGTGCCATTTTTTAGCACAAACGCGTACTCAAAAGTCTGTCCAACGGTGAGGCTGCCAAAAACGGTCTCCTGAACGTGCTGTTCAATGAGAAAAGACAAAGGTGCTTCAAGTGTCTTACTGACGTAAATGCTCGAGTTAGTAGAGTGAGCTGTTGGTGTGTTTTTCTCTCCGGAGAGAATTTTCAGCAATGTTGATTTGCCAGCACCTGATGACTAGATCTGATAAGAACCTGGTCATTGTTATAGTTTAGCATCATTTCTTACCAGACGGTCCAAGTACAGCGTTTAGCGATGATGTTTGCAAGCATCCGTTTAGCCCATTTAGAATGATCTTTTGTCTTTTCTTAAAGTGAGACACTGAGTACTCATTCACCGAGTAGGCTATGTTCTCCCAGGCAAATGAGCTATCTTCTTTGTTCATGGCAAGTTGTGATAGTGCGTTTATTTTTTGAAAAATCAGTTTTAAGTGTTAAAAAGCTAATATTTTAAACGTTCAAATTAGTTTCTTTTGTACACTGTTGCAAATGTTTTTGTGAAAAAAACAAAAAGTAAAACTAATTGATGTACCGCCTTTTTCAAAAAGCAAACTTTCTGAAGTTCATAAAAAATTAACTTAAAGAAAAAAGTTTAATGTTAAAAAATTGTGGTTGGTACAAGTTGTAACAGTTTAATATTACAAAAAGTGTTTTATTAAGAAAGGGGAAAATATGCTAATTAAAGAATCGAAAATTAAATGTTACAGTGTTACTGACGTCAAGTGAAATTTCACTGCAGTAAATGCAGACAGTTTTTAAATAAAAACAATTTTAATTGTTGCCCATAAAACTTAATCATTTCAAAGAAACCACATAATCTGTTTAGCTTTTCATCAAAAGTGTTCTTGAACTGACCTCTACTCTGTTCACCCGTGAAGTGACCAAATCTGTCGCATTCGTTTCATCATGGTGTTATTGGAGCGTTGACCATAAACGGCAATAAAAACGTTCAGCACACTTATCACCATCACTATCATCAAGGTGATCTTCTGCCAGAGACCCGAATTGTTGGCCCGAAAGGAACCTCGATTTGCCATCTCAGTGCTGTTGACCAGCAAAATAAATATGACCACTAGAAGCTAATGCAACAAGTAAAAGTTAGGAAAAAAGGAAGAAGTTTTTGTGCATACCTGAAGAGCAATGGACACGAGAAGAAGCGTAATAAGAAAGGTAAAGTTGGGCACATTTTCTTGTCCTGTGTCGATGATGAACTTGACATGCTGTACATTGGAAACGAGCAGGGCAAAATCGAGAGAACCACCGGCAATGCTTAGGTACTGCAGATTCTGGAAACCACGAGAATATTGTTTGCTTGCCATACTGATTTCAATAAGTATAAAAGTAATGCAGACACTGTTTTTCAACCCTTTTTGTTTTTGTTTATGTTGTTATTAGGTTTGGTTAGTGGTATTTGTACAAACTAGTTGCAGAAAAGCATTGCACCAAATATTGTACAACGTATCGTCACATGCCAACATCGATAAGGAGTGTTAACACACATGTTGATCAATTGAGTTGACAGTTTCACTACAATTGCCTTTGAGTATATTGACAGGTAATAATTTGTTATTGCCAATAATATTGCGTTACTCAAACGAGTTTACTCATTTAGTGGCTGGCACGATCAAAGGGGATGATGATCAGTTGACCGATACTGCCCTGGGTGGAGGAAAATTTTTTGAAATTTATTGTTTCATTTGTGTAGACATCAGGCATTTTAAACTGAATTTTACTGAAGTTCTTTTCAGATCTTTGATGAAGTTGCAATCATTTGCATGCATTAGAATTTGTAATTCAGATTGACACTGCTGATACCAAAGTACATTTAAAGTAACTTTTTTTTAACTAATGAACCTTTTTTAAGACTTGAAACATTCTAATCAAGTTATATTCAAGTTCATTTTGAGAACGTCTGTTCTAAACTTGTGCAGAGTAATTTTCTACATATGTATGAAAAAAATAAAAATATATTAACATTAAAAATAAAAATTTATTTTTTGTAAAGGCAACAAATATCTTTTCCGAATTTATCGTTTGTTTACGATATCTCTAGGGAAACTTAGGACCGCTGGTTTAACTTGCTGGTCGGATCCAGCTCTTCGCTGGGGAATATTTTTGTTGCGTATAAAAAGCCCTAGCAATAGCAAACACTTGCTCACATGTGTTCTACTCACAAAACTTTGACAACACTCAAACAACCTCTCAGCTTTTAATCCTGACTTAACTCAGTTTTCACTTCAAAAACATGGATTCTTTCACAACTGCAAGCGAGCTACATAGCTCTACTACTGGTTCACTTCATTCGTCACCTGATCAAGTCAGCGTTGTCCCGTCGAAACCCAACAACCTACAATCTAAAAACTTTTTCGATGACTTTGTCATTGTTCCAATGCTTGCTGAAGTGAAAACTCCTGAATTCTCAAAAAACCGCGTCGATGTTAATGAAACGGCTAATGAATTGGAAGAAATTCTTGAACCTGTATCTTCAGTTAACCCTCAGTCCAATACCTTGATACAGAAACTGATAAGCACTTTATCCGGTTTTACCAGTCCAGCCACTGTTCTGAACAATCTGATCGCCAGACTGAAGAGCATCAACAGCATCAGCAACAATCGTCCACTGGCCTCTGCCAGTGAAACAATTGAGCAGATAACAAAGCACCTGAGAAAGCACTACCCGGCACCTATTTGCCTAGGCAAGCTACCTTCTGAGGTAGCGGACCAGCTACTGGGCGCACTTAGCCTCCACCTGAATGCCTTCTGGAGTCAGGCTAGCTGGAAGGAAAACGGCAAGTACTGGCAAAAAGAGTACAGCACCGAGGTGATGCCCCTTACAGACCACACTACTGATGACTCCCCGCATGTCACCTTTCTGTATGCCTTTGAAAAGTTGATGATGCATTTCAGCAGTGCAAAACTGGCATCAAGTGGAACCGGCCTGTCCATGCTCATTCGAGCACTTCTTCCCTTTGTCGCTCTCAGCTCATCGGCCAGCAACTTTAGCAGCAGACACTACCTGATAGACAATCTGTACGACGATATTTGTGACATGGAAGAAAATGTCCTGGAGCTACTTGGTGGGCAGATGTTCAACCTTACTGGGCTCATCAAAACGGCATTTGAGCAGTTTGAAGTCATTCAGCGTCAAGATGGCAAAGAGGTGAACTTTCTTGCGCCAAAGTTTAGCAACTTTTACCCAAACGATGATGAAGTGAAGGAACAATTGCTGGCCGCACTAGGTAACGCCATAAAAAAGTGGACTAAGCTGCTGCCAAAAAATGACGGAAAGATTGATGAAGGTCTTTTGCTGCTGATGTGCCATCAGTCAATAGTGAGCTTTGAAGGTAAGTGGAGGCTCTTGTTTACATTGAGTCAAGTTTTAACATAACTTTTTCTCCCTAGATCAAGGCAACTTGATCAGAAAGAGTTTCCATGAACTGGCCACTGCTAAGATGATTGTTGAGACCATCGTCAGCTATCGTGGTGTGGAAGTTTGGCTGGACATGAAGTCAGTATTTGGTGCTGCAATTGCAAGCAATGAAAATGTTGATTTTCATTCACTGACAATCGTGAAGTACATTGAGTTGATTGGATACGCTTTTCCAAGTGTGAAAGCTGCTGCAAAAATTAAAGCTGCTAAAAACAAAGAAGTCGATTTGTGGGCCAAAGAAAAAGAAGAAATCAAGCAAAAGATGATGTTGGCTTTGGGACTGATCAAAAACAAATGATAACTGGCAAAAGATAAGTTGCTTTACTTAACTACAAACAAAACCAATTTTTTGATAGCACATTTTTACAATACCCATTTTATATATTTCAATTCATTCATTTTAATAAAACTTCATCTTATTTCATAATTGATATTTGTCAATTGTTACTTTGAGACACTAGCAAAAATAGATTAGTTTTATCGTTATGCTTTACTTACTTTTGACATTTCAATAGTTGTTTATCGTTGTAGAATGTCTTTATACAAAAAATTACTAAAATAGATAAGAGCAAATCAACAATTTACCCCTCTGTGCATTTTTAGCGCAGTTTAGTGCAACTTGTCGCAAGTAATAAAATAAGGCAAACCAGTTCAGTTACGCTTGGTCACGCTTCAGTGCCACCAGAAAAAAATGATCATCTTTAGCTGTGACCTTACTTTATCTAACGGTGCAGAAGAAAACAGACTCAGTGCTATCTTTAGCAGCCGCTTGACACGTCATAGTTAGTTTTTTCTGGAGAATAATTCTCACTTGTTCAAAACAATGTCCAAATGGAGTCAACTTTTCACATTTTTCAGTGGAGTTTTCCATTGCTGCTTGCAAATTCACGCACATTCTTTGTAAGTTAATACAAAAATTTTTTTAGTTTGTTTTAAAACATTTTTTACTTTTTTTAGTGCTCTCAGCCACGCTGACTTTGAAGCACCATTTGCCTATCCACCATATGCAAACTTTTTCTCCGCCGGCCCCTACGCAGGTCACCTCTTTCGGCGCAATGAGTCCGCCCCCTCAAAGTTTATCGCCATGCCACAGTGCCAGACGGCGCTAATGGATCCCGGCGAGGCGCTAATAAACAAAGTCTGCTCCCGTCTTATTCAGTAAGCAAAAAACAGTCAATAATCTGAAAGGTTGTTTTCTAAACTAACATATTTTTACTTTATCAATATCAACAAAGCGAAAACTCGCTAGAGCAGTCGCTGGTGATCGCCTACCGGTGCTTCACCCGAGACGTCCTTCTCGAAGAGGGTGTCTCCTTCTTTCAGTATCCCTATGTGTACGTGCTCATCGTCGAGCCGGTGACGGCAATTAAATACGAGATCAATGGCAGTGCCGCCTTCGTGTACTTCAGGGCAAACACTCGAAAGGGCGACTGTGAGGTGGTCTCAATGGAGGGCCACTACTCGGGTGATGCCGTCTACAAGAGCTACTCGGCCGCTAGAGCAGCTGTAAATGACCAGTAAGTGCGACATGTTTAGCCTTTTTTATCCCTTGCTGACTCACAACTTGCGCCTAGATACTGTCTCAACTGTAGAGAAGACCTAAAACCAAAGAGACGCATATTCACCTACAGCGACGTCCAGTACGACGGCGAGCCGGAAGAGTTTAAAGACGGTAAAGTTTTTCATTTTATAGACTATTTGTTGTTTCTAAAAAAACATTCTTTGTCAGACGTCAATCGGACGAAATTTGAGTTAACATTCAACTCTATACTTGACCCGTACCTCAAACTGACCTCTTTCGTGGCCATTTACTACCAAGAAGATGCCAATAGCGACTTTGTCCCCTTTTGTTCGGCTTACCTTTTGAACAAAGGCATCGCTTTTCTGAACATTTTTGAGTGCAAGCTACCGTATGTTTCTGGCTAAATATCAATTGATTTCTTTCTAACCAGTTTTGCTTTGTTTAGAGAAAACACTAAAAACTACGTTGTTGTGCACCGGTGCTTCTACGGCACTACAGAAAACGAATATTACCTGAAAGAAGATAAAATTGAAAGAATTCGAAAACGAGATGACGGTGCAGAGATATACTTTCATCAGCACTGGTTTGCAAAATGTCGACCTACTTGGGAAGTGACAGCTGCGCCCGAGTCGACAACAGTCGACATTAAACTAACTAACAAAGGAGAGCTTTAATTTAATTAGTTCAGCATCATCATCATTGACGTTAATTTAAATTTTTTAACGTTTCATTAATATAAACAAAACCAATTTCGTACAACTAAAAGTTAAATGACCTTTAAAAATAATTTAATATACAAAATGCCGAAAAGTATTTAAGTGTGTTTTGCTTGAAATAGAAAGTGTTCATTGATTTCAATTTTTTTAAACATGAAGTTAGCTATTCATGCAACTTTTCTTTTAATTGTGCTCCTCAGTGAGCATTACGTGGCAGCAACATCACGTTCTGCCAAATTGGATCAACTCGAAACTGCCCTTAACCGACTGAACATTTCAACCAACGTAAAACTACTTGACTACTTTCCAAACTTGAAAGCAAAAGCAGTACAGGTGACCAAAGTCTGTTACCAGCCTCTGCTCAACTACAATGGCACTGTCATGGCGAACATCTTTGAGGATGACATATTCACTGTCGTAAAACGATACTTTGTATGTTCAAGATCAGGTTTTTTTAATTTTAATTAATCCATTTTTTACTGTCCACCAGAAAGTAAACTTTCAACGATTGATGGGTCTTACGCTGAACAAAGTTCTCCAACGAATTAAACACTTACTAGAGAATATTGGCAAACTTGCAGAGAGCATCTTTGAGTGCCAACGGTTGGAGCCCAAAAAATTGAAAAAACAACAGCAACAGTGCTTGACTTCACTTGGAGACATGGTAAACATTCAATTGTATTACCCAATTTAAAACTAATTTACAAGTTTTGCACTCTTAGTCTCCTGAAGAAAAAGCTCGTTTCTACTTGCCCAAGGCACCGCCTCCTCTGGGCGACTCTGAGGTAAAACCCGAGTCGAACTCGAGCAAGTGCAGCAAAACGCTGCTGCCCGGCGAGGCAGAGCCCCCGCCACTGTGGGACTGGCGTAACCTTGGCATCATTACGCCGGCCCGCGACCAAAATCCCTGTGGCACCTGCTTCATCTTCTCCGCCGTGGCGGCAGCAGAGAGCGCCTGGCGGCGCTTCAAGGGCGGCAACACCTGCGACAAGTTCAGCGAACAGGCCATTCTGAACTGCATCCGCGACAGCATCAAGCACCCGGAGAATGATCCCTGCCTGACCGGCATTGGCGGCTGGCCCATGGAGGTCTTCCAGCGGATGAGCACCTTTGGGGCGACGCCACTGGAGGAGGCGCCCTACCTCGCCAAGTGGCAGCCCTGTCGGGATAACTACACGACGGTGGCAAAACTGGCCGGCCAGTGCTACCACTTTAGTGAGTACTCCAAGAAGGGAGAGGCGGGTGAAGAGCTGCTGAAGTTGATGCTCTACCGAAACGGCCCGTTGGCGATTACCATTTGGACGAACGACTTCTTCAACAACCTTTGCCCTGGGCAGGTGTACGAAGGGCCGTGCACTACTGAACAGCAGTACTACCATGCTGTTCTGCTGGTGGGCTACGACCAGCAGTACTGGTACCTCAAAAATAGCTACGGCGGCGCCGGGTTCTGGGGCGACGCGGGCTTCTTTCGCATGCCCAGGGGACGCAATGTTTGCCATGTGGGCAATGGCTATGCTGTACCGCTTTTTGAATTGTAGTGTGTTCTTTATTAAATATAAATGTGCTATGGTTTAAAAGTAATAAAGGTATTTAATCCTAACTGATAAATTGCGTTTTTTATAATCAAAATGATAGTCACTTTGGTAACCTACCAAGTAAGAAAACGGTATCACAGCTGTTTATTCCAACAAAACACTCCGTTGCATAAAAAATTATTTTTGCGGCATAATTTAAGATGTTTAAAAGTAAGTTTAAAAAATTATGCATTTTTTTAAAATAACATTTTTAAAATCATTTTAGTGGCTGAAACGCGGTCATTTCGTCGCCACCTATTTGTAGGGTCAAACACCGAAGAAGTGAACGTTGGTCCTCTTCAGCCCTTTTCATCTTATCAAAGTCTATTCAAACGACGCAACCAATCGCTGAAAGAATGTTTTCAACTTAAACCTGAATTACAGGAAGCGTGGACTACTGCTCAAAAGAAAATAGAATCTAAACTAACTCCAAGTGATAAAGAAAAAAGAGAAAACCTTGAAAAGGAGGTTAAACTATTTTCAAGAGATGAAACAGAAAAGGCAATCATTGAAAAAGAGATAAAACTAATTTCAAGTAATGAAGAAAAAAGGGTAAATCTTGAAAAAGAAATCGAACTGTATGGAAAAGATGCCATCATTTCTGCCATGGTCTACTCAACGAACGTTGAGGTTGTCGATAAGTTAAATAATAAGAACACAATATACGGTCATTTCAATTCATACACTCGCGCTTTTTCTAATGGAAATTCGCGTTACAAAATAAATCTAATTGATGTCGGCTTGATGACTTTGTTTGAAAACTTGATCAACATGCAGGAAAAATCTCCAGTAATTGAGGCAGGTACCAATCTTTACAGAGGTTTTGAAACAAAACATTCTCTTAATCTGAAAATAGGTCAAACAACAACACTTGGATATTTTGTTTCTACTTCAAAAGACTTTAAAATTGCATATAATTTTTTAGAAAATTCTGAAAACCGGTCAACAAATGTAAACAAAAGATTTATTTTTGAATACAGTGGTCCTCTTTTTGGCATTGACATGAAACTTATGTCAGAATTTGCATATGAAAATGAAATTCTTCTTTTTCCTTACCAATCATTTATTATTGATGACATTGCTCAAAATGGTTCTTATACAATTGTTAAGTTTTATCCCCAGACAGAGAAAGCAGTGATGTTATTAAGTAAAATAAGTTTACATTTCCCTGATCTGGCTGAAACACTGCAATTAAAAACCGTTTTAAATTTCGTTGACGATACATCGCAAACAAAAGCCGTTTTCACTCTGGTGGACGATACAACATCTGAAAATTACATGATAAGCAGTACCGATTTAAAACATTTTTCTCCTTCTTCTAAAATCAAGTTAAAACATACTAATTTTGATCCCTTTTCTCTGCCTAACAGTCACATTTTTGTCTATCGTCAACTCATTGATCGTAATCACAAAAATTTTAGTCTTATAAAAAGAGTTATTTCGTTCTTTCCTAGCTGGGCAATTGATTTATTTGAAGTTCGTTTTATTACACTGGTACCAAATATTTATCTTTTAGAAGCTTCAATTAATAAAAATAGCCCATTTTACTGTAAAATTCAAACGGAAGTTTATCGCGACGGACAACCGAAGTACACTGAAGAGGATTGTTTTTTGTATCGTTTGTCACTTGCAGAACTGAATTACCTGCACAATAATTGCACTTCAAAAGATGCACACGCAACTAGCTTTATTATTAGTAAAAAGGATTTTCCACAAAATAGAGAGCTATTTTACCAAAAATTCAAAAAAGAAGACTACTCACTGATTAAAGTAGCTCATGTTGACAAACATTGGGACACTAATTACAAAGACAATTGGATGGTGTTTGCTCATGCTGATCCTTGGAGTTTTTACGTTGAGAAAAAAGCAGTCGATGGTCTTTTACTTCATGTTAGTTTCAAACTATTTTTTGGTGTTATGGCATGGATTTTTACTCTTTTAGCACTGCTAGGTTATAATCTATTTGTTGAGTTTGCTCTTGGTTACTCTTTGGCAATTATATTTAGTTTTTCAGTAATTACATGTTTTGCATTAAGCTATTGGTTAAAAAATATGAATTTAAATCTATTATTTAACGAGACCACAAATTGGTTTCTATGTGAACAATGTGATCGAAGATGCAATGGGCATTGCTACAATGACGCTACACCTAGAAAACGAACAATCATGCAAAAACTATTTCCTTTTTTATACGAATTTAGTTTTGATTTTGATGCAGACCCAGCTTGGTGGAGAAACTTGCGTTTTCCTGACATGTCTAACTAAAAAATTTTGTTTTTTTATTTTTACTGTTTATTTATTTACACAAGTTTTTTAAAAGTTAAGCAACTTTTAAATATTGTTTAAAAATAAACATGTTTTATTGTGGAAAACTCAGTGTTTCAAGGGCAAAACAAATGTCCCAGCCAGATAAAATTGTTAACAACTTAAAATTGCTTTTTAATTTAAATTATTTTTGTAGTGTTAAAGTATTTTTGTTTAACATTTTTAAAATTTGTTTTTGTAAAATTGTCAAAAATGTTAAAAATATTTAGCAATTTTAAAATGTAAACAATAAAATTTATTCAAGGTTTTAATCATTATCCTTGATTCATTTGGATACTTTGTTTGAAAAAAGTATAAAAACGGTTTCATGTTTGTTTTAAACTTATGGTTTAGCCAAAATGAAGTTTCTTTTTTTTATTTTGTTTTTAACTACCATTTGTTGGGCTTCATCTCAGTTTAACCAAAATCGATTAGAAAATGTTTTGAATAAACTTAAAATTTTTCCCGGTGAAAAATTGGTAGAACATTTTAAGTATTTGCAAGCAAAAGTTGTACCAATAACAAATGACTGTTATAATACAACATTGAACGCAAATGGTGATAAAACAAACATTTTTAAAGAAAATTTAAGAGACGTGATCAGAAAGTATTTTGTAAGTTTTTACTATTTTTTTTAAATTTTTTAAAAATATTTTTAAAACAGAAAGTATTTCCTCGCTCATTGGTCGGGTTATCTGATGAAAAGTATTTCAAACGGGTCAGCACCCTAGTTAACAGTTTGGCAGAGTTTGTTGAAAAAGTTTATAAATGCGAAAATATTAAAAATAAAAGTACACGTCAACAGGGACAGCTATGTCTAACTTCAGTGTCTTCATTGGTAACTAGAAAATTACTCAAAAACAAATTTTAATACATATTTTTGAATTGTTTTTAAATAGTCTTCTGCTGAATTATCTGGTTTTTCAAATCCAAATTTGATATCAAAGTTTTTCCAACATCGTATCAATGTGCCAGATTCAGAATTATGTTTTTTAAATGCACTTAATAATGAAGAGCAACCTCCAACTGAACTTAACTGGAATTCAAAAGGCTACGTTACACCGCCTAGGTATCAAGGTGATGATTGCAATACATGCTTTATTTTTTCGACAGTTGCAGCTGCAGAATCAGCATGGTACCGTTTTAAAGGTAAACCAACTGGTGAAAAGTTTAGTGAACAAGCAATCCTCAATTGCATGTATGAAGGAAAACCAGCAATAGAAGATCCATGCCGTGATGCGAAAGGTGGCCTTCCAAGTTTAGTTTTAGAACACATGATGGAACATGGATTAACACTAGCAGAAAATGAGCCGTACGTCAACAAAACCGGACATTGCGAAAATTACCCAGTAGCGGCCAAACCAGTCAGCTACTGTCGTGGTGACAATGTTGACGATGAAAGTTTAAAAAGGCAACTTTTTCGTAACGGACCACTGATTATCAGAATTGATATTAACAATTTGGGCAATGTATGTGCTGGGCAATCATACAAAGGACCTTGCCCAAAGGAAAGTTTTCACAGTGTTTTGTTAGTCGGATATGATGAAGAATTTTGGTATTTTAAAAATAGTTGGGGAGATGATTGGGCCGATAAGGGATTTTTCAAAATGTCTCGAGATAGCAAATTGTGCGAAGAATGTTCAATTTATAGTGAATTTGAGGTTCCTTTATTTAAAATGTAATATTGATCCTATGTTCAAAACTTACTTGACATATATCTGAAAAAATTGTTTTTATTTAAAAAATATTTTTTATGGTAAAACTTCAATAATTTTGACATGTATTCTAATAAAATAAATTTTAAGTTGCAATTATCTTTCTGAAAAATTTCTTTTGTACAATCAAAAGTACAACTTTGACGCCATTTTTAAGGTTTTCGCGCATGGAATTGATATTGCATGTGGGATATTGTCGTAAATGGTTTGACGAGAGGAATTAAAAAATGTACTCAATCCCTACAACCCCTAAAATCCAACAGTTTCTCTCTCCGCATTCACTCTTTTGACTCTAGAAAAAAAGCTATTGATGTTATTAAAATCCGGTTTTTACCAGTAGATCAAGCTAAATGG